TNNTNNNTNTGATTATAATAAAATGGTTGTTGATGGTTGTTTGAACTACTTAACATATCTTATTATTTTCAAAGTCAAAAGTTAGTAAATACTATTTAAATAAAATTTGATTTTATTTAATATTACTAAATGTTGATTATATTATGCTAAAATGTTTAGTATAAATATGTGCAAAATGGTTTTGCATTTAAGTGAAGTTTTTGATCCTAAATTTCTAAGCGTTAGAAAGAGAAGAAAGTGTTCTTCATAAAACTTCAAGAAAAAGTTCTTAAAATTCGCAAATAAAATTCATAAATATTCCTATACAAGAAAACCGAGTCTTTTCTACTAGCGAAGGAAAGTCGTCGGAACCGGGATTCATAGGGTGGATACGTTTAGAGGGAAGACACTTGGATTCCTCTAGCGAGTAACCTCAAGTCGTTGAAGTTACAACCGGGAACCGATTCGCTCATCCATCATCAATAGTGAAGGAGTTCAAGACATTCGGTAAATATTTTACTAGTATTTACTTTATAGTAACAAATCAAAATTTGTATATGATGCATGTTTTAAAGATGACGATCAGTTAATTCGAAATTAGTATGTACGGGTGTTATATTTATACGATAAATACTTACTTTAAAAATTTTAAATTCCGCTGCGTACAGCTCGTACAGTACTATCGAACCCAACACCACGTGCATGTTCACTCGATAGGGCCTAAATGGCACTTACGAGCACTTGACGTCCGAACCATCATTCTCAACATGCAATTTCACTCGGGGCTGAGTGTTTTGCATCCAAAATGATGACTATAATGGATAACACTTAGGTCATAACTTGCATGCATTGAACTAAGCCTCGGGTGTCTAAAATAACCCATTTTCATGAATGAAATGACCAAGGTAATGATCTCCATTTACATTCAAACTTTTACACCATCAATGGTATAATAATTAAGGGTGATTTAACTAACAATCTCGACTTTAACATGCTTGCTACTAAAATTTCATTTTTAAGGCCATTAAATCATTGAATTCGGAACTCATGATTTTTGACGTGCATGGCTTGATTTTTCTACATTAAAAATCCTAAAATATTATAAATAGGCTGAGGGAAAAAGATAGCTCAAGCTAACCTCCACCAAAATGCGAAAATGGTGGCTAGGGCTTTGCTCGGGCTAGGTCACGGCTTTGGGCACTAGGGTCGACTTGGAGTGGGATTTGGCCGAGCTTTATGAACTCCTAAGGCTTATAAAAATCCAAGGAAGGCTTGGAAGTTGATAAGCCTCGGAAGAAAAGGCTTGGGACACGAGATGGCTGGTTCTCCTCCTTCCCCGGGTCGTGCGCGTGCGGTAGTGGCCTAGGTAAGTTGAGCTCGACCTTCCCTCTGATTTTCCACAATATGCTCGAGTAACCAAGAGTCTAAGAGCTGTAAAATGACTGAGGAAGAGGTCTTATAAAGGGTTGAGGGCGGAGCTAACTAGGTGGACTGGTGGGAGACAAAACAAGTGGGAAAAGCCACCCCTCCATGCACCTAGGGACTTGCTGAGGTCTTGGGCATCTTTGACTGACTTCATGCACGATTTGGGTGGAGATTTTAGAGCTCAAAAACTTAGGTAAGTGGTCTGGTCAGCCTTGGTACAAGAATGGGGGACAAGGACAAAAAATCTTGAATATAATAATGCAAGGCACATGTCCACTTTGCATGCTAATTGGGCTGACATTGCTTAAGCTTTGTTAGGGCCATATTAACTTTAATTAATCCTCATTAAGCCTTTAACATTCGCAGCATTAGGTCTTGGAAAGAAGTGGGCCAAATCTCTTGGAAATGGGCTTGGAATGTGGGCTGCCGTAGACCCGCGCTGGGCCTGGGCGCTGGCTACTGGGCGCGGCCTGCTGGGTTGGTGCGAGGCGGGCTGCACGCGGGGACTGCATGGGCTGAGCGCGGGAACACGCCGGGTATAATGGGCTAGGACAAGTCCCCAACACTTAGAAAAATATGTGGGATGATGGTTAGGCCTTGGACAAGGTCTTGGGCGGTCCTTGGGCGCGACTCAGGGCGCGGGTGCGAGGTTAGGGCACGGGCTGCTCGGGTAGGTCTAGGGCTCGATTTTTAAAATGTCCGAGACATACTTCTTGATATTCCAAGACTTAAAAAATTATTCTAAGTATAAAATACCAAGACTTGGCTATGCTCGAGAATTAACTTGAAGAATAATCGGAACCAAACTAGGGTTCGAAGTCGATAATTCTCGAGTTGATTAACTATAACCTTGTTGACATCCAGGTTGGGCTCTCATAAAGGTAACGATCTGAGAGACCAGAAATCGGGCGGTGATCGGCCGAACTGATGAGGCCGGTTACCAAATTTGTTCGAAGGTGCCGGGTTGAGTGCCATATCAAAGTCAGCGGGAGCGGCGGTCAGAGTCGGTCCCGAGATCGGCACCCCAAATCCCCTCTAACGAGGCCGGTCCGGCCCAGTGCCGAGTGGAGAAGGGACCATAGAGGTCGGAAGACGAACTGAGTACGAGTCAAAGTCAACAGCCTTACAGACAACGCCATATCCCGAGATCGGTACCTCAGCATTCGCGTTATGGTGCCGACCAGCCCCGATATGGGGTCTGAAAAACCGGAGGATGGGCAGAGACTGTCATAGTCTGACTCGGGATCCTACCAGATCGGCCCGCATAGGGGTTAAGGATCCAGGAAATAATTAAATTAGCCTACTTGCCAATCAATGATTGCCGATGGAACGTCCCAGACTAGCTAGTAGGTCTAGGACCTTTAGCTTGGCCGAAGAGCATGTCCGCATTAAATGCTGTCCATACCAACATTAAATGCGTTGCAGGTAATGATTGGGAGATCCCCAAATCACTCCTAAATCAGTCAGAGAAACGCCGGCCTGTCTTGCCGAGTTACTGTACGACAAGACCCATGAACAGTATCAAATTTAAGAACCCTATAAATAGGAGTCTTGAGCATTTATTTCGGGTTGTTGAATCCCAACTGTCTCAACTCTCTCTACATTTTCTCTCTCTAAACTTGTAAGGAATTTGTGTAAGAATTTGTAAGTATATCGCAAGTGTCGACCTCGTACGAGAGGCCGACCTCGTGATCAGTTAATAAAATTGTAATTGAACCACATTCCTTTGTTTTTTCTCGCTACTTTTTCACAATTTATCTTTTTTAACCGTTGACTGGAAACGCCCGTCAACAGTTTGACGCTAGAAGGAGGGCACCATAAGTTACTTGGTGTCAATTTTTCGACTTCGTGGAACCCCACATCTTACCCATCTCTTTCTCATACCTTTCACTTCCGAAAAAACTATTCAAAATGCCTTCATCTGACCACAATGAGTCAACCCAGCAGTCCGGCGCCCAGTCTCGCCGACGCAACGGCGGGGAGACCTCTCATCGTGCTCAGCAAGGGCCCATAGTCCCTGTCCCGCCAGTTCCCACCTTTGCTGCGGCCATGCAGCACCCCGACGTCCTCAAGGCCCTCGAAGGGGTCTTCGCAAAGGCTCTCGCCAGTCAAGCGGCCGGGGGAAACACCGTGGCGCCCACGAAAAACCCTGGCAATACCTTGCTCCATACCCCTGAAAAGGAGGTCGAGGGGCAGAAGAACCCGACGAAATCCAAAACCACAGCTCAATCACCGAACTTGGAGGCCCGGAACCGCCGCGACAAAAGCACCAGACCCGCACCTACCGAACAGACGGGAGAGAGCCGCCCGGAGCAAAGCCTCCAGGTCGTCCGTCGCTCAGTTTACCACCACCTAGGTGACAAGAGCCAAGCCAACCGCGACCTCCGGGAAGTGATCAGGCGAGGCAAAGCTATAGGGCAGGACACTGATGAAGTCGCGGCCCTCAAACGCAGAATCGCCGAACTGGAAGGCCGGCACCCCTCAGGGAGTGAGCTGTCGCTCCCTGCCTATCCACGGTCTTGCACACGACCCACTCCCCGAGTCGTGAACAACGCATCACTTCTTTCCCCCGACATCCTGCAGGAGGCCGTCCCGAAAAAGATAAAGGTGCCGTAGCTCGGCCTCTACGACGGGAGTTCAGACCCTGATTCCCACATTGGCCTCTACACCTCGTGGATGGACCTGCACGGCGCCTCTGACGCCCTACGATGTCGCATGTTCTCTTTAACGCTGGGGCCGAAGGAGCAGAGGTGGTATCACTCTCTTTACCCCCCTTCCATCTCCACCTGGGCGCAGCTCAGGTCGGCGTTCCGGTCGCACTTTATCGGATCGCAGGTCAAACCTCGCCTATAAAGAATCCATCTCCAATATTGTTCAGGGCGAGAATGAAAGCCTGAAGGATTACATCGCTCGGTTCAACGACCGAGTCCAAAACATGGAGCGATGCCACCCTGACGCACTACTGATTACTGCCCAGGGCGGCCTGAGACCAAAAATGTTATTTAGGTGGTCCCTGTGTCAGAACAAGCCGACCACCTACCAGGAGTTTCTCACCCGAGCCCAGGACTACCTCATGGCGGAAGAGTCCTCGTCAATCCCCACCTTTGACGCCGTGCCGGCGAAGGGCAAGGCCAAGGAGGAAAAGCCAGGGAAGCCGAGCAAGTCATTTGCCAAGATCCAGGCCCAACGCAGACAAAAAGCTGAAGAGCTGAAAGAAAGCTACCAAAGCGTCTTCTCTGTAGGTGCCGCTGCAGTTTAAGAAGAGATCAAGGCGAAAGGACTATTGCCGGATCCGAAGCCGATGTTCAACGACAAAGACAAGGTGGATAAGACCCGCTACTGCACATACCACAAGGCGCATGGGCACAACACCGACCAATGCCGGAATCTGATCTCGGCTCTACTCAAACTAATCGACGACCCCCAGCTCAGAAGGTTCACCCACTCTGGTGAAAAGAAGAGGAAGGGGGGCCGTTTCAACGAGGGCCTTGACAGTGACGACGACGCCGACGCCGACGTCAATCCCAGGAGGAAGAAACCCCAGCAAGGCGGTCCTCACGAGATCATGACCTTGTGCCCTGTCGACCAAAATGAGGCCGGCACCTCAAGGGGCAGGAAAAGAGGGCGGACCCCGTCCAACGAAGCATACCCGACCGGTTACCCAACCCGGCGCATTAACACCAGCCGGGGTGAATCCCTCCTCTCCAAGAGACAGATCAAGGCCTACGCACGGCAGGCCTATTACGCCGGGCAGAGGGTAATGCATGCCGACAGCAGGCCGGCGCCTGAACCAACCCCAAACAAAATCTCCTTCACCGATGAAGACGCTTTCCTGTTTGATCACCCTCACTCCGACGCGCTGGTGATCACAGCACCGATCATGGCAATAAAGATCCATCGCATCATGGTTGAGACTGGGGCCTACGCGAGCATTCTTTACTATGATACCTTCAAGAAGATGGGGATCGACAGGAAGGAGGTGCAGCCCTGCCGCGAGTGGATCCAGGGTTTCAATGGGCAGACTGTTTGTCCCATTTTTGTTGTGTTTTTTCCTTGTTATTTTCCTTTCTTTTTCCCCAATATTAGTTTTTTTAGTTAGTTTTTATCTCGTTTTGTAGTTTATTGCGTGTTTTCCTCTATCTTGGTTTTCTTGTGTTTTCCGTATGTTTTTCCGGTTTTTCTTGTTTTTGGTGTGCATGTCAGAAGCCTGTGAGGAATAAGTTTAGCTTGAAAATGGGAAGGGAAATCATGGTTAGATAGATGGGTTCGTTGGCTACAAGTAGAAAAAAGCGGAACTCAATTCCGAGTTCAGACGAATCCGAACGGGGACGAAACGTAAAGTCCAGCAAGCTGCCGACTGTTTGAAGGTTGGAAAACTCTATAGGATTGTACTATTAGAAAAATCTGGTCATGAAAGCATCATTGAATAGAGGAGTTCGTTAGCGACGCGTCCGCGCCACACACTTCCTCCACGGCGTGAAGCACTCCACGGGCCTACAGAAACCCAGCACACCATCCCTCCGCGACGCGAGGCCCCATCACGCCGCGAAGCCCATGCCCAGGATTGCTCTCTCGCGCCGCTGAGCTGCACCACGCCGCGACAAGAGTCATCACCGCGCCGCATCATCCTGTCTCGCACCGTGGTACCCTTGGCCCTATGAAAGTCGTACGCGACTCTCATTTATGGACACTACCTCTCGACCGGGTGAAAACCCTAGGTCCGAGAAAAGCACCACGCTCCTTCTCCTTTCTTCTTCTCCTCCATTTTTCCTTCTTCTTGTTCGTTTCTCTTCTTCTTTTCACTTTTTTTTTCTATTTTTCTTCTTCTTCTTCTTAGTTATCAAGGATTAAGCTTCGTACTTTGGGATTCAACACTTGGACTGAATAAATTGTAAGATTCTTTTCTCTTTGAATTATTTCATGAATAATGATTGATTTGGAGAGATGATTATTGGTGTTGAATTTATTTTACGTAGCTAAATTTGATTGCTAGGGATAGGGGATGATTATTCTTGTTTAACGTGCATTTGTCGGGCTCAAGATTGTTCATGCTTATGTGAGTTGAATTGATTAGGAATTGATGAATTTGTGCTTGATAGCTTGATATAATCGAAGGGTGACACTTCGATCTTGCAATTGGTAACGATTGAATATTGATATGTCGAGTTAGGATTTGTTGATTCCATATGATTAGTCGATTAAACACCTTCTAATTGAATTAGCGACTTTTAGAACCGAAAGGGGAGAAGTCGTAGACCTAGGCTCGCATGAGATAGATAATTTCGTAGCTGAATAATCTATGGGTTGAGATTGAAATACGTGCTTGTCGATGACCCGTCCCTTGTTACGAAAAGTTATTGGAATTGGGATAATTGGCCTGTGTTGTATGCTCGATCTTGTTCGTCTATGTTCAATCCCTTGTTACGAAAAGTTATTGGGAGCGAACCGCTAGATGTTTAAGCGAGAGTGTCAATCTCGAACCGAACAATTGACTGCCCGACTTTGCTAGAACTTGAATTAATTATCCCCGACTCCCTAGCTTCTTCATCTTTGTTCCGTTTATATTTTTAGGTAGATGATTGTTTTATTTTATTTCTTAGTTAATAATTCACCCAATCTGCTATCTGATTAGAGTGTTTAGGATTTACTTTCTTTTCGTGTGTAATCGACACCAAAGCTAAATTCCGAACCGCCTTCCTCGAGAGATCGACCCGAGGTCGGGAGTCATCCCGTACTCGGTAAAAATATTTGCTACAACACAGACCACCGCCCCCGTCGGCTAAGTAACGCTGCCAATCCGGTTCGGGGAAAAGGGGCAGCCCACGAAGACGATTCTGGAAACCTTCAAAATCGTGGACTGCCCAAGCGAATACAACGCCATTCTGGGGAGGACGACCCTCTACAAACTGAAGGCCGCTGTCTCCATATTTCACTACTCCCTCAAGTTTCCGACCTCAGATAGAGAGGGGACCCACCATGGGGATCAGAGAGAGGCGCGCGAGTGCATCCTGACCATCCCGCGCATGGAGATAAATACGGCAGACCCTCTTGCCGACGCCGAGGCGACAGACATCGGGCCGGCACACGATGACTCTCGGAGCAACCGCATGCTGGGAAGCAAGACAGGTTCGCACCCATTGATCTCGTCAAGCACCGACCCCGTCAACACGGGACTCGAGACGGAGGTGGGCAGCCCGACCACCAATGCCGGGCTGGATAACTCCAACATGGGGGACGACCGCATGCTGGAAAACCAGACAGGTCCGCTTCCCTCGGTTGAGGATGATGCCAGCCAGGCCGCAGGAGATCCCGGGGTCGACCTCGAACTGAATAGAGGGAGAAGGGCCGGCAAGGAGCCGGCCACCGAGGAAGACGAGCTAGAACCCCAGACCCAATACGAGGAGAAACGAGGGACGAAGAGGGCCGAGCCTATGGACGAAGTTGAAATCATCTTCGTCGATGAGGTGACTTGCCAGAAGCAACTCCGGACCGGGAGTAGGTTACCGGGGCCGCTTAAAACTGAACTAACCAAATTCCTCCGGGAAAATGCAGACGTCTTTGTGTGGACCCACGAAGACATGGTCGGCATCAATCCGCGGGTCGCCTGCCACCGGCTATAGGTCAACCCCACGGTCAAGCCGGTCGTGCAAAAACGAAGAAAACTCGGCCCGGACCGGAAACAAGCCTTGGAAGAAGAGGTGATCAAGCTCAAGGATAACGAATACATCCGCGAAGTCCGGTACCCGACCTGGGTAGCCAACCCGGTACTTGTGAAGAAGAGCAGCGGAGCATGGTGCCTGTGCATCGATTTCTCTGATCTGAACAAGGCATGCCCCAAAGACAGCTACCCCTGCCCCACATCGATTAAATGGTCGACGCTACCTCGGGGCACGAGCTGATGAGCTTTTTGGACGCATACTCCGGCTACAATCAAATTCCCATGCATCCGGACGATGAAGAACACACCTCTTTCTACTCGGCACGTGGCCTCTACTGCTACACCATGATGCCGTTTGGACTGAAGAACACCGGGGCCACCTACCAGCGCCTAGTTAATAAGATGTTTGCTAGTTTGATAGGTGTAAGCATGGAAGTGTATGTAGACGACATGCTAGTTAAGTCCGTGTACGCGTCCGACCATGTAAACGATCTTAATAAAATTTTTTCTATTTTGCGTGATTATTCGATGAAGTTAAACCCGAAAAAATGTACTTTTGGCGTCGGTTCGGGAAAATTCTTGGGATACATAGTCAGTCAGCGCAGCATCGACGCCAACCCCGAGAAGATCAAGGCGGTGCAAGACCTTCGACCGCCGACATCAATCAAAGGAGTTCAGAGTCTGACTGGCAAACTTGCGGCCCTGAGTAGGTTCATCTCGAAGTCCACCGACCGCTGCAAACCTTTCTTCGACGCCATCAAGAATAATCACAAGTTCGAGTGGACACCGGCCTGCCAAAGAGCGTTAGAGGCAATCAAGGAGACCCTCATCCAGGCTCCGACAATGCAGAAACCCCGCCCGGGTGAGATGCTTTACCTGTATCTTGGAATTTCCGAGGTGGCCGTAAGTGCCGCTCTGATCCGGGAGGAGGACTCGAGCCAATTCTCGATCTATTATGTGAGTAAGGCCCTCCATGATGCCGAGCTGAGATACCCACCTATGGAGAAGCTGGCCTTTGCCTTGGTGACCGCAGCTCAGAAGTTGAGGCCATACTTCCTGGAATACTCGGTCATTGTCCTCACGGCCTACCCGCTCAGACAAATTCTACATCGACCTGACACTTCAGGACAGCTGGTGAAATGGGCGGTGGAGCTAGGACAATACGACATCCATTACCGACCCCGAACAGCAATGAAGGGGCGGGTACTATCGGACTTCATAGCCGAATTCACATCGGGAATCGAAGAGGTGAACGGCGAGGAGCCTTGGGTGATGTACGTCGACGGGTCCTCCTCTGCCGGATGAGCAGGCGGAGGGGTCGTCCTCGTGGATCCCCAAAAGAAACTCTTTTGCCATTCAATCCAGTACCTCTTCCCGGCGACCAACAACGAGGCCGAATACGAGTCATTGCTATCCGGGCTCGCCCTGGCCGAAGCCATGAACCTAACCGACCTCATCATATACTCCGACTCAATGCTGATGGTCAAACAAATCTCCGGGGAGTTCGAGGTCAAAGAACCAAGGCTGGTCATGTACTTGGGAATGGTGAAGAAGAAATTGGCCAAGCTCCAGACAAGGACAGAACACATTCCCCGGACAGAGAACGTGCAGGCCGACGCCTTGGCCCGCCTCGCTTCAAGTGCCGGCGTGGAAAGCGTCGAATACGTCCAAGTTGGCCACAAAGAACAACCCTCGGTGCTCGGCGCTTCTGTCCTGAGTGCCGGCCAGGCCTCAGCAGACGAGGAACCGAGCTGGATGGTCCCGATCCGGTCGTATCTCGAGACCGGCGCACTGCCGTCTGACCCAAAAGAGGCCAGACAGCTCCGTACCCGGGCAGCTCGATTTACGATCGTGGCCGGCGAACTATTCAAGAGGGGATTGTAACGCCCCAATCGATTTTTAAAGAAAATCCATGGCTTTTCCAAAAATCAAGGTAAAATTTTTCGAAACTTATTTTTCGAATCATAAATTTTTGACGTTACTCATTCCTTTCATAAATACAATTCAAGTCATAACTGAACTACGGGGATTCATTACCCGATTTTCAACGGTTTCATTAACCACAAATCGATAAATTTAACATCAGATCATGCTCAATCATATATCAAGTAGGGTTTTTCATCGTAAACCAAATCCGAAAGTTTTCCAACATGAACAAGTTCAAAATCCAGTCCAACAAGTTCGATACCAACATAGTTCATAAATAAGCGGAAGCAATTTAATAAGCATAATTAATAAGTATAATGAGCAATGAACACCACCCGTCTTGTCTCGTCACGCGCCACTGCTTAACCTGCATCAGTTACGAGCAGGTGGGAGTGAGTACAGTTAACTATCGTACTCACACTATGCAATGCACATTTAATAATATGTTAATAGGCATGGTCGCAGCATGAACATAAACAATACACATATGTCACGTCTCCATCATAACGTAAATACTCCTGTGCACATCTTTCATAATAGTCGCGGAAAGGGGATTCATTACCCTAACGGCGAGAGTACGTGCCACGCAAGGACACGGCCTTTCATAATAGGTCTTTACAGAGACTTGCCTCATAAGGCAACCGTATTACATCGACGGAGACAACCGTAACGATGGCCATCATAATAGCTCACATCGATAGGCTACATATTCACGTTCATACATAGATCACGCCAAAACGGAAACACATATTTAAACACACATTGCACAGATAAATTTTAGAATAACAACCCACCTGGATTCCGGATTGATAATAACTCAAAGCAATTGGAAGTAGGTCGAGGCTGGACTCCTCAATTACCTACATTGAGTCAAGATGCTACAGTCAACATCTATCTTGACTTTAAACGGAAACACAAAAACAGACCTAGTCGAACTTGTTTCGACTAAGTAGTTCGTGAAGTCCTATGGACGTTGGAACACTTAGACTCGACACTAAACTCGACCAAACCACATATGGGAGTTCACATAAATCCATCTAAGGATTGACCAAGTCAAACATTCAACCAAACGAAAAGCAAGTCGATTACCGATTTTTAATTTCAAAATCATATTTTGAAAATAATGACCATTAATCACATAAACTAGATGATCAGGTTACTCAATGAATCAAGCTCTGAATTTTTACCCAAAATTATATCTCCCATAAATTAGTAAGATCACAAAATTTCAGCTTCAAACTCAAAGCACAAAAATTTATAAAATTCCTACGAGGAATAAGCAAAAATGCACATGAATTTATATCTGAAGCTACTGAATGAATCAGGACTTGAAAATTTAACATAACAACATACAGCATGCTAGAGTCAATGTGTAAAAATCTCAGCCCTTAATATTAAATGCTGCTATTTTTAAAAATTCATACGAGATTCAGCAGTTTATCAAATTTAAATCAAAACCGAAACAAAATGGATTCCGAAAATTCCCATCTTTTAACAGCATGATTCTACACATAAAATAGGCATCTCAGTCAAGTTTCAAAATTTTTCATGCACAAACCGATTTATAGTAATTCATACCGTTTTCAGCAGATTCGATAAATAATTTATTACCCATATGAAATCAAGTCCAAAAATTCTAAACATTTAACACAACATATAAAAGTCACAGAGGCATGACATATTCGAATTTCAGCTCATTTGAATCACAAACGAATATCTTAAGCATTAAACAATATTTTAATCAGAATTCACTTTAATTATTAAAAATAGCTACAGGCCTCTAAAAATTATGAAATTTTTACACAAGCCTGGCAACCAACAGAATACATATCCCTCAAAATTTCAAGTCATTCCGAGCAGTGTGCAACTTTTAAAAATTCAAACACCAAAACAGCGACATATATGCTCGGCAACTTAGAAATTAATTCATAATATGAAATTTCTCGTCCGAGGCCTTCTCATAAGACCAAGGACTCGACTTTGTTCCAATATCCACCGACTTACACGTGTTTCGAGGTCTCGTTCAATTTCTCATAATTGAAGAGGTCCTCGAACACTTAAACGACACACATAAAATCACAATTATCACACAGCTCATAACGAACACATTATCGCACAAATAATCACATCTCGCAAATCAAACATATACGTAAATAACATAAAAGATTTGAATGAGACGGGATCGACTAGGTACCGTTCTCGGGATCGATACTCGAAAAGGGAAATCGAACGGCCTCGAACGGTTCTTGGCTCGGCTAAGGATCGGCCTGTATCTCTTCTCGTACGTACAGGCTGCTCAAAAGAGATTCGAAGGGAACGGCTGCTCGATAAAAGCCTCGAACGGATGCCATTCTTCTCGCACGGGCCCGAAAGGCTGCCGTTGTTGTTCGGCTACTAAACAAAGGCCGACGGGGTAACGAACGGAACCCGCTGCTGGGGAGAGGGACGACGGAGGAAATCCTACTGGTTCATGGCGGCCTGAGACTCGTGAAAGGGCGGAGCAGCGGCGGACGGCTGCTATGGCTCACGGAAAAAGATCGCGACGCGAACTCGCGGACAGGGATCGCCGGGAAGAGTCTCGCGGGGTTGTTGCTGCGCGAATAGAAAAATCGCAGGAGGTGGAGCATCTGGTCGCGGCGGAGGGCTCACAGCGGCGCTGCGAATCGCCGGAGAAGGAGCAGGCGGAGGTCGCGCGTGGAGGTTGATGGCGGGTCGCGACGCTGCTGATGCGCCGTGAGTTGAGAAGAGCAGCGAACGGAGGCGGGGAAAGGTCTGCTATTCCTCATCGGTGTGTTGCGCCGGTGCTGCGTGGCGATGGCTGAGGAGGGTGACGTCGCGATTGTCTATGGCAAGAAGAAGGGGAAGGGACGAGGACCGCGGATTTGCGATTAACGAGAGAGAGAAGAGAGATTTGAGCAGATTTCGTTTTCTTCTCTTTCTGCTCGTTCGAGAGGAAAAATAAACATGGCTGCAGGCGTGCACTGAGTATAATAGGTTCAGGGCTAAGATAATAAAATTAGGGCCCTAAATAACGGGCCAAATTTAACAATCGGATTGGGCCAGGTAATCTATCCAAATGGACCGAAATTGGAACCCAATTGGCCAATCGAATAGTTTCATGGTTCGGATTTAAATAGATTGATGCGGCTAGGCGCGCAGGTTCTCGGTTTTCATCGGGCTCGACATAACCTTATTAAACTCGGTTTGACTGCGCGATAAATAAATTAAAATCGGATATATATATCATTAGATATAATACACATTGATTATTTAATAATAAGACAGATTTATTATTTAATAATAATACACATTTATTAATTAATGATAATAAGCATTTAGACATTTTAAAGACAATTAGGCATTTAATAATAATAATAATAGCACACATTAAATAATAATAATAATAATAAATAATAAGGATAAATAATCCCAAGATTATTCATAAATAAACGGGGCGCTACAGTCTACCCACCTTACAAAGAATTCCGTCCTCGGAATTCGAACAACAAACTACGACGAGAATCTAACGAGAAATAAAAGGAGACAACATCAACACATGAAATTCAGGTGCTTCCCCCGACTTTCAGTCTCCCTCTCCCAAGTCGCCTAGCCTTGACCACCCTCCCACTGGACTTGACGAGTACCCCTCCCAGCCTTATCCTAATGGACCCTCTGATCCAATAGGTCACCGGTACCTCCATACAGGTAGGGTTCTGCCTATCACGCAGCTCGTCACATCTCACATATACTCCGAGATCACGCACACGTTTCCTCCATCAAGAGGCACACAACGTGTCATGCATCCTCGCGAGTTCCGGTAGTGGAGTCAACCATCAGGCTAAGTCATCGACTTGGTCGAGAATCATAATAGGACTGAGTACGCGTGGCAGTAACCAGAACAACGGCATACTCCACCCATATCCGTACCAGCCACCTCACATGGTAAGGAATTCTCACACTCTATTCATCTATCAATACACAAGACCCTAACTGGTCCTTTCGTGTCTCGATAGCATACTCCAACAAATCAACATATAGGGTTGACTTGTTGTATCGAGCTTCCATCTCGTGCCCGGGCCACGGTAGGAAACTCGATTACTACAACGACATGATCTGTGCGTCCTTATAAAACAGGCCGCCACAGAATCCCATACGGATGGGCTAACAATCCATAATAACACTATAACTACAACACCGATACCTACAGAACACACGGCTCTGTTTGATACCGACAACTCTACCCTTGCCAACTCGAATAACACCTCGAATGCAGATTAGGAAATATCGACTAGATGTTCGAAAACAATCTCCTATCGCAGAATCGGTCTCACGATTAGGGATGCTCGATATTCTCGAACTAGCAATCTAACACCAATACTCTCTCACTCCTCGTAGGTCTCGATCCCTACGAAGTATACATAGTCTCCAATCGAGACTCGGGACACTGCCTGAAAACGATGAGGGACCTAAATCTCGCTATCTCGAGAGAATTTCGCATAAGAGAAAGGAAAACTAATCGACAAGCCTCATATATCGAGAGTCGTTGATTAGGGATTTCATACAACGGTTCGGTTTGGAGTTGCACTGTCACCCGAGAGATGACACACACACAGGCGCTTCATAAGCGGGGCGCCGGGACGTGTGCATGCACCTGTTCAGAGACCAGCTGCAAGGTTAAGGTTTGGCCGTACACATTGCCTGAGGAGTTCCTGCGTTTGGTGATGGCGGCGGCAGCTCTCGTGCGAGTCAACGGTCGGCCACTACAGTTGGCCTTACGTCTCCCAGCACGGGCATGCGGCTCGACCACCACTTCACGTGGCTACACCATCCAGGTTTGGCGTTCAGTTAAGGCACACACCAGAAATTTCTATTTCCGGGTCCATAGATTCCTAGATACTCAGATAGGAAAAAGGTTTCCTTACAATACTTCTCAAAATACAACAGTTTAAGCATTACTGTTGAGCTACAATTTCCTATAAGAATCAAACGTTGGCATCACTGCCGGGAAAAATCCTAACCTCGACGGTCATCGCCGAACATTAGAATGGTTAGCTCGCTTGACCCTTCCGACTAATAATGTCGACCGTCACGACAGCTTTTACTCAAGTAGCTAATCGTGCCGGCGGTCCCAATCGAGTTCGACCACACATACAACTATAGCCTTCACACTCCGAGGTCTAGCGTAAAGCTTCCCTCGCAAGTGTTTCCAGCTAACATCATAATACCAATCAGATTAAGTCACATAGGGCACATAAACATGAAAATTGACGAAAAGCTAATTTTTAAAATTCATAATTCATTTTGAAAACCTAAACATGTACTAGCACAAATTTTTCAGCATGCGTGTTGAATTTAAAATACATATAGCTTTCAGTCTACAGATCATATCATGATGAAACGACTTGGAAAATATTCCTAACTCATGCCTCTATCACTTTCATGAAGAACACTCAGGCGGATAAAGTCATTTAAAGGCACATTATACAACAAACATCCAAAACATGGGTGCAGTGGAAAAATAAAGATATGCAGATTGACAGGTTCTCATGTATGCACAATAGCCGAAGCTACAGACATGATATTATTGAAATTCAAAAATCCCAAGGTAGCTAATTCATTCTCTACAATTTCCTTGAAGACCCCAATGGCAAATTATAACATTATCAACAAGATTGAATATAAAACATTTAGTTTTCAAAAACAGCCAGAGAACAATTTTTCAAAAATACAGCACTTTAGTAAAATAGCAACAACTCAAGCTACACAACTCCAATTCATACAAACTCAAAACCTATATAATCTACACATAGAAACATACAAATGTCATGAAGAAGACTGTTTCATAAGAACACGTTTAGGTCACCTAAACAGAGTACACATTCAATACTTAAACAAAATTTTGGTTTCATAAAAACTGGATGTACATTCCACTTAGAAAAATTATATAAAATCAACTGGAACTCCAAACTATATAAACTAAAAACGTACAGAAACTACACAAGGAAAGCTACAAATTTCATGAAGAGAATATTTACATATGATCACGTTAAAGGCATCAATTCAGAGTATACATTTCATGCATACACACAGCCACTGTTTCAAAATCCTGGGCATAAATTCAACTTAGAAAAATCATATAAAATCAACTAAAATTCCAAATTCCATAATTCCAATTCCTTCGAGCAGCTTATATCATATACTACATTTTTCATGAAGAACACATTTCCATTCAGGCATGTTAAGATCATCATGAATAGCCATGAACTAACATCAAATCCTGCCCGAGTTTATCAAAACAGCATGCTTGTCCAACTTTGAAAAATCATAACAATTTCATTTTAACCCCAAATCACAAAATTTAAGAACTCACAGAAACTTCATTCAGAGAACTACAAATCTCATGAAGAACACTTGTCCAAGAAACATCATCTTGTTTGAGAAAAATATAGCCTAACTGAAACTCGAAAAATTGAATTTTCATGCCTTCATCAACTCAAAATGATCACACAACAACATAGCCTCGAGATCACGTAAGTTACACGTTAAGCAAGCCTCAATCTCAATACTTTAAGACTTAAGAATTTGATATATCATCAAACACATTGTCCGAGGTCCAACTCGGTCTTATTAAACAAGATAGAAAAATAAAGTCTTATGCCTTTCACTTAAATTATTACATCTTTTGGTTGATAATATATAACAATTTACATTAATACATAAATTCAACCTCAATCATCGAAAATCACATATATATCACATGAACCCGACCAAACCTATCATGACATAAACGAGACTCTGAACCTAATAAACTTATCTCATCATATCACATAAAGGGGAATCAATAAATCACATAATCCTTATCTCTTACTCAACTAACCATGCTTCGAGCCAGCATGAACTCACCCTTACTAAGGCACAAGAGACATTAAACACATAACACACCAGAGGTTGAACAGAGGCCATGAACATCCATAAAAATGGCAGTCTATAAGATATTGACTCATCTCATAATTTTCGAAACCTGGCAAAGGTCCGAAGAGGGCGAATACATTCCCGGTTCTCATTGACCGGGTCCTCACTTGAAGACATGAATATAATTATATAGCAAGGGAAACTGCTATGGGCATAACTTATCTCGATAACAACAAACTGAACCTCATAGCGAGAAACCTCTAGAGTCCGGACTTAACTCTATATCACTAGAGTTCAACATCAAACACTAGAGTTCACAATAAACCAAAGGTGGATAGATTTCCTAAGCCCCAAAAGTCAATAAGTCATAACATAAACAGTTTCATTACTGCCTATGTAAAAATATAAAATTTCACATCTTCACATTATAAGTATTTTCATCGATACTTATATTAACACATACCTTAAGCAGCGCGGCATGACGAAGACGAGTGGTCTTAATATAAGGTCTAAGCATATAAACACGTTTTCACATATATGCCAGTCTACAGAAACGCAGACTGGCTCTGATACCAAACTGTAACGCCCCAATCGATTTTTAAAGAAAATCCATGGCTTTTCCAAAAATCAAGGTAAAAATTTTCGAAACTTATTTTTCGAATCATAAATTTTTGACGTTACTCATTCCTTTCATAAATACAGTTCAAGTCATAACTGAACTACGGGGATTCATTACCCGATTTTCAACGGTTTTCATTAACCACAAATCGATAAATTTAACATCAGATCATGCTCAATCATATATCAAGTAGGGTTTTTCATCGTAAACCAAATCCGAAAGTTTTCCAACATGAACAAGTTCAAAATCCAGTCCAACAAGTTCGATACCAACATAGTTCATAAATAAGCGGAAGCAATTTAATAAGCATAATTAATAAGTATAATGAGCAATGGCCACCACCCGTCTTGTCTCGTCA